TTGGCACTGGGAGAAAGTGGTGCTCAGAGGTGAATGAGACAAATATGGTCCCTGCAGTCATGGAGGTCACAAAACAGCCACTCTGTAATTAATCATAGAATGGGTAGATGAATAAAAAATATACAAACCACTCCCACGGAAGTCTCACCAAATCTACAATAAGTACTTCCTACCTGCAGAACAAAGTTCAAATTCCGTAGCTTGGGATACAAGCCCCTTTTGAGAGATAGACTATCAGTTTGCTAGGACTTCCATAACTAAATACTGTATCACAGACTAGGTGCTTAAATGACAGAAATTTATTTCTCACTGTTTTGAGGCTGCAAGTCCAGGATCAAAGTGTTGATAGGTCTGGGCTCTCCTGAGGCCTCTCTCCTTGGCTTGCTCAGGACCATCACATGACCTTTCTTTTATGCCTGAGTGTCCCTGATGTCTCCTTGTATCCAAATGTCCTCTTCTTATAAGGTCATGGATCTAATTGAATGAGGGTTTACCCTAATGGTTTCAATTTAATTAACTCTTTAGGGGCCATCTCCAAATACAGTCATATGCTGAGGCACTGGGGATTAGGATTTCAACACATGAATTTGGGAGGAACACAATGCAGCCTCTAACAATTTGAAAGAGGATTTTAGAATCTAATAAAATTGAGATCTGATAAAAGCTCTGAAATTCGCTATTAATAACTGCCAATGAAAGGCTATTTCACTTGTCTGAGCCTGTTTCCTCAAGAACTTGTTAAGAAAATTATAAGCAATTACTCCTGTGAAGCACCTAGCAGAGATCATAGGCACTTCCAGTAGCCTACGCATAGTAGGCACTCAACTAATTATAGCCACTGTCATCAATCACTCTATCTTCCCTAGAACCCCAGACACATTCGCTCTCTTACTTCTGGTCCTCCAACATGGGGAGCCTTGTCTAGCCCAACCCTGGTTCATACCCTTGCTGCTGTCTTTATATGCAAATCCTGGCTGCCCTTCCAGTTCAGTTCTCTCCTGTAGCCTGAAAGCCAGAGGCCACCCTGGGCTCTTCTTCTCTCCAAACTTGTTAGCATTCCTGTGGATTCAACATCATCACCCAATTATCACCCAGGAATTAAAATCCCATACTGTTAATGTATCTGCTAGTTTTCCTGCATATATGCTGACCTTCCCTATTAGATGAGAGGCATTTTTGATCAAAGTCCACCATTATGCTTTTTAGTTTCTCTTACTGCAACTGTGGAAGTGTCTCCAACATAGCAGGCCTTAATCAACCCAAAAAGTAAGCAAATATAAAATATGTACAGTTGTCTTCCCTTGCCTGTGGGGGAGAAGTTCCAAAACTCTCAGTGAATGTCTAACATCAGGAGAGTATCAAACCTCACATACGCTATGTTTTTTCCTACACATACATACACAAATGTAATGCCTTTTGCATCTTAACCAAGCATTCCCCACAAAATGGGGCAATAACTTTTGTACTTTCAGTTGTGACAGCAAAACTAGCACAGATTTCTTATTCCTTGTTCACAATTTAATAGATAGAAGTTTCCTTTTTTCTGTAGACCATAGCCACCATGATATGGTATGTTTCTTTCTTTATTAAATTGTGAACTTTCATCTTCTCAGCTAAAAGAAGCACTTTGTAGTTTCCTTTACGTATTTCTGAATAGCTGCCATGACTCTTATGCTTTGAAACTATTACAAAATTGTTATGGTTTAGATGTGGTGTCCCCTAAAACTCATGTGTGAGACATGAAAAAAGGTTTGAAGGAAAAATGACTGGGTTACAGCCTTAACCTAATCAGTGAATTAATCCCTGATGGGATTAACTGGGTGGTAAGTGGAGGCGGGTGGGGTGTGGCTGGAGGAAGTGGTTCATTAGGGGTGTAGTTATGTAGTATATATTTTGTATCTGGAGAGTAGAGTCTCTCTCTGCTTCTGATCATCATGTGAGCTGCTCCTTCTGCCACACTCTTCTGTCATGTTGTTCCTGCCTCACCTGGAGTCCTGAAGAATGAAGCCACTGTCTATGGACAGAGACCACGGAAACTGTGAGGCCCCAAATAAACTTTTCCTCCTCTATAATTGTTCTGGTTGGATATTTTAGTCACAGCAGTGAAAAAACTGACCAAACAGAAATAAAATATGGATTACCAGAACATGAGCAATGAGAAACTATAATCAATTTGATAACCTAAATAGCTACTAAGTCAGTAATGGGTAGATAGCATATGTAGTGTGGATACACTGGACAGAGGGATGATTCATGTGCTGGGATGGGGCAGAATTTCATCATGTACTCAGAATGACACAATATAAAACTTAAGAATTGCCTGTTTCTGAAATTTCCATTTGATATTTTCAGACCACAGCTAACTACAGGTAAACGAAACAGAAAAGTGCAACAGTAGGTAAGCGGGGGCTACTATGTATGTAGTCAATGTTCACTGATTGAATAGGGGTGTGTGTGTGTGCGTGCACGCACATGTGTGTGTGCAGTTTTAGTATAAAGAAACCTTAGCAAACAGAAACATCAAGTTCAGACTGTCACTTCTTTCTAAAGAGGTAATTCAGAGAGAATTCAATGGTTTTGCAATGTTTTATTACTGGGTCCTAGTCACATGATGATTTGTTAAATATTGAGAATGTATATTTCACAAATTGATGGATATCTGTTTCTAGATAAGTTTAATAACATACACAAGTGATGTATGAGAAATTCTCCTGACAATGAGAAGAATGAACTTAAAATGTTTGTCTTAGAAGAGATTTAGTTAGAATTTCAGAGTATAACTGAACAAATTCTTTTAATTAATATTTTATCTGGCAGGAAATATTTATGAGACATTACCAACCTCATAAATGCAAATGGAATTTCTATAAATAGGAGAAAAAATAATTTCCCGTAAGTGTCATGTTCTAAAGAGAAAACTTTAATTGTGAATTCATCTCCTACTCCATGAAAGAAGGTAAGAGAAGCAGATAAAAGGGGACAGAGGAGATGGGTTTGCACTCTAATTAACAGTGATAAGACACATAAATTCTCTGTTGCTTTATAGCATCTCCTCATCAATTTTCAGCCAATGAAAATACACTTAGCACCTTCCAAAGCTCCCTGAGTTGTTCTGAAATTGTGTCACCTACTGTCAAATGTCATTTGTACTCTTTGAAAACATGGGATGGAAAAGACCAGGCTACCCTAAGTTTGCAACAACCAGTCACTACAATACTCTTAGTTCTCATCTTTCAGGTTTGGGCTGAGAACTGGATACTGATTTTTTTTTCTCAGTCCAAGGTCCAATCACAGAGAGACTATTCGCAAAGCAGTATTTCCCAGACCATCCTGTGCTTCACTGTAAAGTGAGTCAAGCTCTCCCATAGGGCAGAAGGAACATCATGGTCTTTATACTCAATCCAAAGGCCATTGCTGCTCCAGAACACAGCACCCCTTCCAGACTCAGTTAATGCTTTGAGTGTGTTATCCAGACCTCAGAGCTACATAGTTAAAGCCTTTGCCAAGAACTAGGAAATGAAAAAATTAAATACTTTCTGTTAAACCATAAGATCTACCAGCATGCAATGAATGAGCACCAAGACAGAGATTTCCTGGTTTAGTCAGAGCCTATTGCAGCCACACTGAATGATCAGGCTCTCTACAGACAGAAAAGGAGTATGTCCAGGGGACTACTCTGAGCACTGTTCCCTGGATAGGGACAGGGCGGTGGGCTTTGGATGCTAGTCTCCATAGCAAGGATAGAGTCAGTGCACTCTAATCCCAGTGACAAGCATTTTTCTCATTGCAATTGAATAAACCAGTTTCCTGGTAGTCTTCATTCACATGATAAATATCCACCCACTGGGCCTAGGTGCTGGAGATACAGTACATTGGAGCTAGATGTGTCTGTCACTGAGCGGGGGGGAAACATACACAGGTCCTGGAAGGGGGTTATTAAACTCAAAAAGACTGGGTAACAACCAAGACAAGGAGCAGAGGTAAGAAAGGCTACCTTGAAGGGACCAGAACACAGACAGCAGTCCTCCCTTTGCAGGGTAATGTCTGCACCTGCTTTTCCTGCAACTCACAGGAATCAAATAGATTCATGCAATCATCTTTCCTCAAGGACAGAAGGAATCCAAAAGGGAGGGCAGGGAGGTGGTGAGGAGGCCTTGCCAGTGCCTAGGAACACATATTGCTTCCACTAACTCCTTTCCCTGACATTTCTACCCACCAGTCACAAGACATTTGTGCTGCAGGGTGGGTGGGGAGGAGACCACATACCTGTTCCCTGTCTCTGGACCTTCACCCTCAGCCAGTGGATCAAGTCCCAAGACCCTGACCCCAGCCACAGAAACAACAACTACCTGCGTGTGAATGTGGAGCCCAGACAGTAGTTCCCGACTTGCCAAAGGAAAGTCCCCACCTGTGGCGTTCCATCTCAGGAAAGGCACCAAAATACTGCCAACCGCCCCCTCGACGCAAGGTAGCGACTGAGTTGCCCCTTCAAGGCTCTGAGCCAAGGTTTTTCAGCCCTGAATTTCTTTCTGTCTGCTCTACCGCACCCACTAAACCACATGAACACAGATGCTCACGCACGTGCACCCACGCGCGCGCGCACACAGGTGCTCACACATGTACACGCGCGCACACGTGAACGTTCCACACATGCATGGGGCACTGAGACACCCGCGCACCCGGGTCACTGATCCTTGCACCTGCCTGGGCGACCCAAAGCACTCTAGTTCCACCTGCCGGGATGTAGCAGGATGATAGCGCAGGCAGGAGCTACAGTGGACAGCGGGGAAGAGAGAGGCGGCCTGCCTGCCGGCTCCAGTTCTCTCTCTGCTTTCCTCCTCCTTCCAAACTGATGGCGTGCGGAGATCACCAGCAGCACCCGCCCCATCCCCACCCTACCCGCCCTCTGCGGCCTTTGCCCGTGGCCCTTTAAATCTCGTTATTATCCGGAGATTCATTTGTGCTGGGGGGAGAGGGAGGAGAACCCTGAGAGACAGGAGGGAGGAGAGAGGGGAGGGAGGCAGGGAAAGAGGAAGAGAGCCGAGCGCCTCTGGCTGCGCTCTCTTGCTATTAGAAGGGAGTGACTGAAGAGGCTGGCGAGTGAAGGCACACAGAGAGGATGATTTAGATGCCTCTGCTTCTGCCCACAAGACCCACAACAAGGGAGAGGCTCTAGGCTGCAGCCACTCGGTGGGGTAATGGCTGGGGCTGGAGAGTCGCTTCAAAAGCCCTGAAAGCCTCCTGCGCAGCCTTAAGGGACATCCCAGAAGTTAGCATCAGTGGGACTTGGAAGCTCCGATCTCAACAAGTAAGTTGTCTTCTTTTCCTCCTCCATTTCTCACCTGGGTTCACTGGTTCTGAAAGGCAGAAGCGACACTCTGGGGGTGCCCATCACCCCATGGGAGCAAGCTGTTACAGAGAAACTGCCAGATGCAGGGAGAAGGGGCAGAGGAATAAGGAAAAGATCAGGGCTGGTCCAAAGTTCAGACAGGAAATTTGAGAGATGTCCCAGCACTAGGCAGTGGGTCACCCTGGGCCTGGGGAGCCCAGCATCCAGAGTGCTGTAACCATCTTCCTCCCCAGTAGGAGACTGGGTACCTGAGGTGCCTGGAATCTCCTTTCATTGTTTTAAGAGGCTAGGGCACTGGGGTAGGGTAGGGCAACTGCCCTTGGTAATGATTCTACCTTTAGGTGGGGGCAGAGAGGGCCAGGGTGGGAATAGCAGCTACCTCAGCCTTAGATCCTCAGCTTAGTCTTGCTTTCCCTTTTAAGTCTTGGCATATTGGGAATGTGGCCTTATTATTTCTGCCCTGTCCTCTGCCCAGGTCACTAGGTCACATCCTGCTTGCTTCCCTCTTTCTTTTTAGACATCTTTCAAACTGTTCTGAAAGACTGACCTGGGGGTCAAGGAACCAAGGGCAGAGAATGAGGAATAGGAAAAAGCCACACTGTCTTTATTCTCTTTCTCCTCAAACTGGTGTATATCCCTGCAGAGCTGCTCCAGTGACCTGTGGTTCTGTTTATCCTTTCCACAAACAGCTTCTCCTGTCCCTGAGCTTCTGAGAAGACTTAGGTCAATGCTGACTCCTCCAATTTAGTTTCCTCCCCAAAGTTCCAGGGGCTACCCCAAAATGGGCAAAGTGGGGAGCCAGTCCAGCATGTATTCCAAGAGCTCTTTCAAACACCGAAAGATGATCAATGGGAACATGCCTGTTTGCCAAGTAATTTACTCTGTTTTAATCCTCTTAATGAAGCAGAGATTGTTGTACTCACTCCACAGGTGAGAAATGGCAGCCAAGAGAGGCTGTGTAACTTGCTTGAGGCAAACAACTTATAAAGAGAGATTCTCACCTGGGTCCAACTCCAAAATGTACCTGTCTTATCACAAGTAAGCTATACATTCTAGGACTTTCTGGTTCACAAAACACTTTCCCATGTGAGAAAGAGGCAGTGAAAAGAAGCTGATATTTATGAAACCAAGGTGCTGACTAGGACACGTTTACACCAGCCCTGTGAGGCAGAGCTTGGTTCTCCTGTTTTATAAATGAGCAGAATTGCAGCATGCTGAGTACTAAGTGGTAGCGCTATTATTTTCTAATTCCTTGTCCACTGGCTTAGAATTCGGGGTCTTTTTATTATCATACAAAAACCCTGCAAGATGTCCCTGCCCTCCCAGATCCATGCCTTTTGCTTAGATCCCACGTAAATCCCATCAACCGTCTTCCTAGAATCTGGCAGATGAACAGAGCAGAGGGAATGATGTGTGAGTCAGAGAGCAGAGCCATGCTTTAGGCTTTGGTAAGCAATGATTGGTCAGCTTCACTGGGATTATAGACTATTGAGCTAAACCAAGATATGTCATTCTGCTTAGAAGTATAGTGTACTCAGTGAGGGTCCTGGTATACAGGGTCCATACTTCTTGGAAGCACACCAGCAGAGCCACCATTGTAAGAGAACTTGCTGCACACTCTGCAACGCCCAGCAATCTTCCCCAGACTTACTACCTAGCTCTCCCTTAGAAAGGAGACCAAACACTCAGGCAAGACTCTCCAAAAGCAGCAAGAAACTGCTGGCATTACTCACAGGCAGCATTTCTTACTTAAGGAGCATGTCTGCATTAAACAGAAATCCAGTGCTGTAGCTGGAGGAGGAGGCAGGGGCAAAGGGTGAGCAGGAGATGGGGCATGCTGTTCGCCCTGCCCAGGGCTGTCTCAAAGCTTAGCTGCCTTCTCTGCATGAAGTCAGATCTCTGTGGGATCCCCCAACGTGGGTTTCCTGAGCCTGCCAGCATATCCTAGGCAGTGCACAACACATCAGTGTGTCTTTGTCACAGTATTTTCATTGCCCCTGATGCAGGCAGCATAGCAAGATCCCTCTTGGGGCTTTCTCAAGCACTTGACTGGGCTTCTTGTCTAGGAATTAGAGAAACAGTTAAGGTGCTCTGGTCATCTATGATGAAATTAACCCCAGGTTAGGGAGGAAATGACCAGAGTGTCCATTCTCCAATTCCCATTTTCTCTTAAATGACAGGATTCTCCATGCCTTCAGTGGGCAAAGGCACCAGTGGGTATACTAGGCATTTCTATACATGAAAACTGCATCTATTTTGTTTTTTTGTTTTAAGATTAGTTCAATAACCATTTGTTTGATCACCTGGCATGTGCCAGGGATAATTAAGTTTTGAAGACCTTGGAATGGGATCGCTTGGGCAGGGTTATGCTTTCCATTGAGAGAATGTTAGGGAAAGCTTGCAATTTCTGAGCCAATGCTGATTGAATTTTTAGGCTGGGGTTGGAGGGATGATGGAGAGAATGCAAAGGGACTAGGGTCCATTTTTAAATTACACTTTTCGCTGTGTTTGCACTGCACACCAGACCAGTAATGGAAACTGGCATTGTTTGTAAGAGAGGACCCAACATCAGATGACTTCTAAGGCAGTTTTTGGCCATGTGGGGTTTTTCTATCTTTAAAAAAGACAAGAATTGGGAAATCCAATACAAAGAATGGAAGGGAGGCATTAAAAATACCTGAATGTATTTTTTCAAAAAGATTGTGAAGTGGCTTTCTCTGAAATTATTTTAAAACAGAGCAGACAGCTTCACTTTCACCTTCACAAAACTAAAGGATGGAGTGGCTGGCCAGCCCCCCCCCCCCCCCCAGGCATATCTAGTTCCTCCTACCTTGACATTCAATTCAGATAAAGGAGCTATTCTAGTCAACAGAGCCCAGGATGGCAGTAACCCTTGCCAAGAGCTGTGTTAAGTTAAATATCAGAGCCAAACCTTTAACACCAGGACCCTGTAGATTCTGGCTGGGGCTTAAATGTTAAATCCCATTGTCATTCCAGACTAGAGCAGGCTGGAGGTTAAAGGTCAGGGGTAATTTGACTTGTCAGCAGGTGGCAACAGCACTTCCTGGTCACCAGGGATCTAACCCACGTGGTGGCAAGAGAGTCTGGAAACAAGAAAGGTGGTGGTCCGGGTGGGGTGGGAGTGGGGTCAGCTCAAGGTTGTAGTCTACTCTCCTTCCTTTGATTTGGTTGTTGGAGGCACACACACAAACCCCGCTTCTCACATTCCAGACTCCCAATCTCAATCAGGGAGGCCCTAAAAGAGTCAAGAGGACTTCAGATGCTGCCTGTGTCTTTTTCTCAAGTTCTGCCCCCTATTCCCCCCACCTTAACCTTGGGCAAGCTTGAGCCACTCAGTGCTCGGTACTTAAGCCTAGTGGGAAGGAGCTCAGGAGAGTCTGGCATGAGGCACTGCCTCTACTCCAGCAAGCTGGCTATCCCCCAAGGACTAGGAGAATCCACAGATGTCTAGGTCTCAGGGACCCTTACAAACAAAGGCAGCCTTATAGCACAGCAACCCTAATGGATACCTAGGTCTGAAGGCTTTCCCAGTCCAAGTTAGGTAGCCTTGGTTGCTTTGCAAAATGTCCTTTATCAGATGGACTCAAAATGTCATCCATATCCCTTTTAAAATGTGTACAGCACTTCTACACAGGCTAGACCTTGTACAGGAAACTGAGATAGAAGACTAGATCATTTGTACACGGTGTCTACCCCAAAACCCCCTTTGGGGGAAGGCAGACCTGCCCAGGAATAAATTACAGCCTGGATGGTAGGGTGCTGGGTACCACTAGAGAGATGCACAAAAGGCCACAGGAGGCAGAGCCAGGGGGAAACAGGAAAGGTCTGCTGGTGGTGGAGTGGAGACAGATGATCCAACAAGTGGCTTGAAAAGGCAGGGAACAGGTTAGATATGGAGTAGTGGGGAGTGAGGCTGCAAGAGCAGAGTCTGAGAATGGGAGCCTGGCGTGGGCCTGGGCCTCACAGATGGTCCTGGGAAGCCTGCCCCTGCCTCAAATCTGTGGATGTCCCCAACTCCTTCCCATAAGCACTCAAACTGAGTCACATTTTATTTCCTCCCCGATCCTTGCCCTCTGTCCCTCACTCAGTTTGTGTCTTTTCTCTCTCTACTCTGTCTCTTTCTCCTCTTGACCATACCTGCCCTTTAGTACTTCTTTGGCTCTGTTCCTCTTCCTACTACATTCATCCTCCTAATTTTCTTTTATTAAACATTTTTATTTTTAGATAATTGTAGATTTGCATGTGATTCAAGAAATGATACAGAGAAAACTACCATACTCTTTGCCCAGTTGCTCTCAATGGTAACAACTTGCAAAATTATACTACTACAATGTCCAAAGTAATAAATAATTTATAATAGAACAACATTTTCATCCACACAAGTATGAAAATATTTCTGTTATCCTATTATTGCCACACCGACTTGCCACCCACCTGCCCAACCCCTGGCAATCACTAATCTGTTCTCCATTTCTATAATTTTTGTCATCTCAAATGTTATATAAATAGCATGTAACCTTTTGGAATTGGCTTTCTTCACTCAACATAATTCCCTGAAGATTCAACAAAGTGTATGTATGTGTGTGTGTGCATGCCTGTGTGTGTTAGTCCACAGCATGAATGTATCACAGTTTATTTAACCATCTATCCATTGAAAGTCATTTGAGTTGTTCACAGATTGGGACTGTTACCAATAAAGCTTCTATAAATATTTGTCTACTAGTTTTTGTGTGAACGTAAGTGTTCATTTCTCTGGGATAAATGCCCAGAAGTGCAATTGCTGGGTCATATGGTAGTTACATGTTTAGGAGTTTTGGGGGTTTTTTTAGCTGTCAAACTGTTTTTTCCACAGTGACTATACAGTTTTGAATTCCTGCCAGCAATGTACAAGTGATCCAGTTTCTCTGTATTCTTGCCAACATTTGGTGTTATTGCTATTTTTAATTTTAATTTAATTTAATTTTATTTTTATTTTTAATGATAACTCGTGGTTTTAATTTGCATCTTTTAATGGCTAAAGATGATGATCATCTTTTTGTGTGCTTGTTTGCCTTCTACATAGCCTCTTTAGCAAAATGTGTCAGGCCCATTTTCTAACTGGATTGATTTTTGTTGTTGTTTCATATGAATGTTGAGAGTTCTTTATGTATTCTAGATATTATTCCTTTGTCTGATACATAGTGTGCAAACATTTTCTCCTACTCCATAATTTGGCTTTTTATCTTCTTAACAGGGTCTTTTTCAAAGCAAATGTTTTCAATTCTTATGAACTTTATCAGTTTTTCTCCAAAAGTTTTATAGTTTTCTCTTTTCCATTGAAGTCCATGATCCATTTGGGGTTAATTTTTGTATACGTTCTGAAACTCATGTCAAGGCTTATTTTGTTTTTCCCTATGGATGTGAGATTACTCCTTTGCTATTTGTTGAAAAAGCTATCTTTCCTCCATTGAATTTCTTTTGCACTTTTGTTGTCTGTTTTGTTGAAGGTCTATTTTGGGGCTCTCTGTTCTGTCAAATTGATCTATATGTCTGTTCTTTTGCCGGTGCCAATATTAAATCTTAAAAATTGGGTAGACTAATTCCTTTTACTTTATTCTTTTCCAAAATTATTTTATCTATGTTAATTCTTTTGTCTTTCCCTATAAATCTTAAGGTAATTTTATCTATGTCTAAAAGAAAATATTGCGGGATTTTGCTAGGAATTGTATCAAACGTTTACCATTTTGAGTCTTCCAATCCATTTTTTAAAGCTATCTTTTGATTTCTTTCTTTGTCATTTTGTAGTTGTCAGCAGTTCTTTTTTGTTCTGCCAGGAGCAAACTGTGTGACCTTGAGCACCATTGAGTTTCTCAGACCTTCAGTTCACTTTCCAAAAAGTGGGTCTGATAACAACAATGACCTCAAAAACCCCATGGAAAAGGTCAAATGAGACAGCACATAGGAAGTGAGCGACAGTGCGTTTTCAGTGCACGTGGTGTTCTCTCTCTTATCTGCTCTTTATTTCCTTCTCCCCGGTTCTCATTTGACACCTCCATTCACCCTGACTTCACCTTTCCTTTGGATCCTTTGCTTTTTTAGCCCTCTTTTTACCTCACCTCCATACTCTAATTCCCCTGTTCTCTTCACTTTGTGTTTTTAGTCTCACTGGCTTTTTTTTTTTTCATTCATTCTCCCAGGATATACCCTTTCTTGGGTTTTGGGGGGCACCCTCTTTTCCCTGCTTTCTTTAGACCAGTCAGCCTGGGTTTAAATCCAGATCAACAACTGGATGCAACTCCAAAGCAGCCACTCCCTTTCCTCTGCTTCAGTGTCCTCGGCTGTAAAATGGGGCAAACAGTAACTGCCTCACATGGTCTCTGAAGTGGTTCAATGAATTAATACTGACAAAGCATTTAGAATAAAATCTGGTGTATGGTATGTCCCCGACAGGTCTCAGCTGTGATCACTGGGATTTTACCTATTGTGCCCTGTTTCCTTGTTTCTTTCTCACTCACTGGTCCATCTACCTTCTCTTCCCAGGCCTTGTTTTTGACTTGTATATAGATATATTCATATTCACATCATTTTGCTTTATTGCTCTTATCTTCTCTGCATTTCTGTCATATTCCCTAATCATTGCTGATAAATTGGCACCGGCCCAGGAAATCTGTCCCTGGGGTTGTAGAAAGGAAACAAGTGGTTTTTCATTTTGATTTAATTATTAATCCCCCTTCTTATTTAATGCAGAATGCATGCAGTGTAGGGTTACAATGAAGAAATTGTATCATAACTATGCTGCTTGCTTTCAAAGAGAGAGTAGGCCTAAAAAGGAAAAATACTAGACAGATACAAATGCAGGGGAAATGTAAGATGAGTTAATTTGATTTTAATGCCCTTTTACTGACAATTATCCCTCCATCCTCTGCAAAGGACATGTAGATTGTACAGGTAAGTCAGGGCTGAGTATCAAAGCAAGTGTATGTAAGGAGCACCGAGTGGCCCATAGCAGCTCACCAGGGAGGGCAATGAGATGTTCCTCTTAAGGAAATGGGAGCCAAGCAGGTTGAGAACTTTTGTCACAAGCTTACTTCCTGCTCCATAGGTGTACTCTCAATAATTAATGACTTGAAAGGTACTCACATGTGATTAAATCTTTCAAATCTAGATTGCATACCTCAAATTAAGCTTAATATCTGTCCTTTTAAAAACTGCTGAATATATTAAGACTCACTTAGATATGCTCAAGTGGATCTTTTAAATCCCATCTTTTTGTCTCTATTTTCTTCAAAGAATTGAACTCCACAAGCAAAATTTGCCAAGCCTGCCTGCTCTCATTTCAGACAAGAACGCTGTCTTCCTTGAAAAACCCTTAAGTGAAATACCATTTAGTCCTTCCCTCTCTTCTTGTTATCTTTTTCACAGAATCTCAGTATTGCTGCTTCTTCAGTGACAGAGCAACCACAGGAGTAGTCCACAGCCCTTCTATTCAGGTACTTGTTCCTCCCCAGATGCCTACACAGGAAGTTTTATTGCTTTCTTAGATTTGTGGTAGGGGATCCATCGAGGATGCAATCTAATTGAGTAAACTATCTCCTCCTTGTCTGGGCTGCCCAGGTGCCTAAAACCCCAAGCTCACCTTCTGGTTCCCCGTTTGATATTAAGTGACTCGTTTGCTGTGCAGCTAGAAGTCAGGACCACCTGTTAGGCCCACTTAAGTCTTTCAGTGCTTGTATTTCAAAACACTTCACAAGTGTTCCTGCATCTATAATGCCACCATCCTGGAAGCAAATTAACCGGCATTTGTGTGCCCTTGGGCAACTAAACTATCCATCTGCAAAATGGGACTGAAATTGTAGGATTGTCTTGAGCTGACTCAAGAGTTCTGAAAGAGCCCAAGAGAGATGCAAATTACCATTATTATTCCACAATGATAATTTTGAAGAATAATAATACTGGTATTATTTTATACTTCATATCTGCTCTTAACCCATGCCAATTTGGATTAAGTGGGTCAAGTTACATTCTACTAGAATTTGGTAGGATAGAATTTTCATGATAAAAATGGAAGATGTTTCTTTACCGTTATGATCCTCATGGGTATTTTCATTTCTCATATAGAAAAAGAATCAGGATGAGGACATTGGGAGTAACATGGATCCATGGCATGGGTTGAGGCCAGGAGAGTCAAGATTGTAATTCAGAATCAAGATGACTGGATTCTGACAGACACAAAGTAGGAGAATTGGACTCAGGCCAAGATGAGTTCAAAGCCAGGCTCTGCTGCTTCAGAGCCATGTGGCCTTGGGCAAGTTCCTTCTCTGCTCTGAATCTCAGTCTCCTTATCTGTATGATGGACACATCATACTAATAACATCGTTGTGATGATCAGGTAACATAGGTAAGGCACTAGTTAAGAGCAGCACCTGCATGTGCATGTGTGTATGTGCTCACACAAACACACACACACACACACACACACACTCACTCACTCACTGACATACTTCCAGAGCTAATTTGCAAAGAAAAGCAAGAAGTCAGTACAACCTACTGCAGGAGATAAATTAAGCACATATTTAAAACAAGCAAAAAGAATGCAAAGGGCATGGGGAACATAGCACAGATAGGTTAGGTGCTTCTAAAAGACCCACCCTGGTCAAAGGACTCTGAATCAAAATGAGGCAGATCTGCATGACTCTGGCAGTAATCTCAGTCCCGCATCCTGATCCCCCGCCCTTGACTTTGTTCTCAACAGTAATCCCACCTGTGCTGAGGGACTGGATTCAAGAGCTCCCCTCTGAAGGCAGGGACAGCCCAGGATGCAGGCCAGAGGGATGCTCTGAGCAGGGGAGGATGTGAGTCTGTGTCAGCTCCCCAGGGACAAGAAAGCCTGAACAAGGCTGATGCAGTGGGTCCTCATCCCCCTGAGAAGTCCCTTTTGCAGAGGCCTTAGCAGTTCTACAATTGGAGAACACTGTGCAGAGACAGCTCTGTGGTGATGAAGTGTTCTATCTAACACCACCTATTCTGAGATCCACATTGTCCCTGGCTCCACATTCCACTGACGGCCCCTTGACCTGCTCCTGGCACATGTCTCCCTCACAGACACAGGAGACTTATCCACTTTAGCAGTGGGAGAGCTTAGAAGAAACTCCTTCTTGGGCCTTCAGCTAAAAGGACAATGCATTCCTGAAGCCCTTCTGAGCCCATTGGGAGCAAGGAACATCCTGGGCATAAATATCAGCATCTGGGATCTAACTCCACTCATGTGACAGACCTGCGCAGTCCTGTTGTGCCACAATTCCCAAACCACTGATTATCAGCATCAGTTCCATCTGAGCCAGAAACCAGCTCTGGGCTAATGGGACACAATAAGGAGTGGGGACTGTGGTGGACTGAAGTCATCTGCTCCACCCTCCTGTCCTTAGAGCTCTCCTCTGAGAGTATTTATAGCATTGTCAGAAATCTCTTCTCATCGAAAGCCATTTCTTCTTTTAGTGACATAGAGGACTACCACCATAACCTAACATGCTGTTCTCTGTTTTGCAAGTGGTGCCAGTTAGGAAGGAGAAGGCAGCCTGGCAGGAGATGCACTTTAAGAACAGGGACTGTCCTAGCAGCCGTCTGCATGATGGAAGGGGCTAAAGAAGTGGACAGCAGACAGGTCTAGTTAGGACCATGGGAATCAGACTGGTGGGAATGGAGGAGGCAAACTCCTTGACCTCCTCTTTGCTATGGCATGCATCCCAGAGTGAACTCTCCTCTCCCCCCACCCCCACCCTCAGCCTCCTGCCTTTCTTTGTCCTGGAGATTGACAGGCAGCATTTATGGCAGACCCAATAGTCCAAAGAGGAAAGCTTTGAAGAGAATTTATTGGCACTATCACAGCTCTTAGCACCATGCTGAGCATAACTCAAAGTACAATCCAAGGTGTCCCTAGGAAGAAAAGGTCTCTCTCTGACTCAGTAGCCCAGAAACATAAATTGGCAGCTGTGAATCTAATTCACAGTTGCCTTTTCTTTGGCTTGCATAATATTTCTAAAGTTGTCGAATTTGTTATTTTTGGGGAGGGGGTAATTTCATGTTCAAATGTTTTAATTTCTAGATTTTTTTGTAAAAAGAAAGTGAAGGATCTTGCAGTATCAACTCCACATTCTGGCACGGCAATAATTAGCTAGAGCCAAGGAGAGATTGCCCTCTTTTTTACTGCATGTGTGCTCAGTTCACCACAGTCCCCCACTCCTTATTACAACCCATTAGCCCAGAGCTAGTTTTGGGTGCATTAACCATGTATTTGTATCATTACTTTCCTAGACTAAAGAGAATTAATATTTTAAATCTTTATCAAAAATGTGATAATGAGATGTAAGAAATTGCATCTGAATAAAAATAGAAAAAAGCCTATTATCTGTATATGACCAATAATCAAATATAATGTGTCCATATTGAAAGATCCCATCCAGCAGCCACATTCACTGACTTCTATAGGAGGCAGAGTTCTGCACCAACCCAAAGGTTCTGGTTACTATGGAATGTCCAACCCCATGAGCTGAGAAATTCAGGAAAAATTGCATATTTTCCCTTGCTCCTGGCAGAAGCAGACCCATCTTGGATGAGGGAAAATCCAGACCTTAAGAGTAAAATTGGTGGCTGCTAGCTAGTGGTCTTTTCCTTGTAGGGAGTTCACTGTCTGAGCAGACATTTCCAAGAGAGAAGGGGATGCTCCTAGTCATTCTACCAGAACAGCCAATGCTACCTGGGCCATGTGGATACCCGTGTCCTTGGAGCAATTACGGATATTTGGGGGCAAGATTGTTGTAGTTTGAAAAGCCCAGGAGCACTGTCAGATGAGCAGGGAGCACTCTAGAGGAGAGCCAGAGGGTGGAGAACAGAGACCCACCAGAGAGGCACAGCCATGCCACTGGCAGCCTCTGCATAGCAGGTATGCACAGACAAAATACATTGCTTTCCTGGCACAGTTCAGACATCTATTGATCTGGCTACATCCTGGGCCTGACCCTCATGGAGGCCTAGAGCAACCTGGTGAAACCCAAGAGCTGCAGAAAAGCAACCAGTCCTGAGAAACTTGTCCTACCCCTCCATAGTTCTGTGCCTGTAAGCATACCACCAATCGCTGTGCTTTTGTGAACTGTACAATGAGGCTACAATTTTGACAGATGTATTCAAGTATTAAATGATACAATGCATTAAAAAAAAAAAACTAGTACAGAGATGGTACATAATGGACATTCAAAACCTAAGCTATTTTTCCTATTTGGCCCCCTGTTCTCATACCAGAAAGTTTTCCTACCTCACCCACTTTCCTGGCACCCTCTGTACCACAGCTTTCCTGAACCTTCCTTACCCATCCCTGCCAAACCAAATTAAAAACTGCACCTCAGTTTCTCTATCACTGTCTATGGGCTGATCTGTTGGCCTGTTTGCTCACCACCAACCTATAAGCTCCTTCAGGGCAGAGAATATAACTGTGATCCTCAATGTCTTTGCCTGTTAGAGTCACCGGTGGCCAGGGCTGATTGCAAGTGCACCTAGGGTGCGGCCTTGCTGCTCAATGCAGACTAAGAACCAGCAGTGTCAACATCACTGGGAGCTCCTTAGATAAAATGCAAATTTGGGGAACCCAGATCTAATGATTCAAAGCCTGCATTTCAATAAGATCCTCTAGTGGATGGAAAGCACAGGAAAGCCCTTGAAGTGAGGTTCTACCCACTTCTACCCTGAGGGCCCATCATAATGCTAGTATTCAGTGGGGGTTGCTGACTGGGTGGATAGGAAGAAGCCTTTTGTCAGTTTCTCCTGAAATTTCTCCTGAGCATTCACACCTACTACCTCTTGTGCTATGACCCAGATTAATTTAGGTTCAATACCCAGGAATTCAAGAATGGATCTTCTGCACCTAAGCTGATAGAATCAATAACTGCACAATGTTGAAGTTTTTAAACAAAACACCTGATTTTTTTTAAAGATTTATTACTCCTGGGCTCTGTGCCATTAAATCTCAGAGTGCACCAAAAAGAATTTTGTTTTGTTTTAAGGCTGGTAATTTTGAAAAGCCAGGAAACCAGTACTGGCCTCTTGGGAGGAGTCAACCCTTTAGTGTGGTTAGGACACAGGTTCAGAGAGGCTGGATTGGGCTAACCCTTTTTTGAGGATGAGGGACCCGAATCTGGGATCTGGGCCTTGTCTGCTCTCTCCCTGGCTAGGGTTCCTGGGCCAGCAGGCTAGTTCCTGGGGGACAGTGCCTCTGTCTCCTCTCTCAGTGGGCTCCTTCTGGCCTCTCTCAGCTGCTATTTCTGCATCTGTTTGGAGGAGGCTGAGGGCCCCTGTGGCTTGTCTCCCATGTGGCCTCTGAACTACTGTGACTGCCAGGGTACTCAAGAGCATAACAAAGGCAATAATTCAGTTTCTAACCCCAGTAAGGGCATTTGTTGTCTGGGGCCTGCTGCTGGGGGGTTCCCTGAAAGCCTCCTGTGTCACATTCCCTGAGGCCGGGCTGGTGGAAGCTCAGGGGTCCCGGGTCGCAGTCTGGGTCAGACCAGGTCTCGCTGTGGGGGCGACGCTGAGGGCTCCCCCATCTGCGCTCAGCTCAGGGCTTCCCCGCCACGCCTGGGGCTTCCGAGTCCCCAAGCTCGCGGTCTGGCAGCTGCTTCCCTCCGCCTCTCCCCGGGCAGGAGGCGGGGGGGGGGGGGGGGGGTTGGGGGAGCGCGCTGGAGACCCCGGAAGCGAGAAGCTGGCAGCTGCGGGCCAGGGACAAGGGCCCACAAAGCAAACCCTCCGGAACCGGGAGGCAGCACAGGCTCTGCCTAGTTACGAAGAAGCCAAAAGGAACAGCTCTTAGAAGGCACAGCTTCATGGGGCAGCAGACCAGGGGGTTACGGACCTAGAATCCTACAGAAACTGGAGAGATCCCAGACCTCTGCAAGCAGCTTTTACACCCAAGCCCAGCCACTAAGGACTACACACTGGCAGTGAACCCTAGGCAAGATTTCTAAGCTCCTAGCTTCCCTTTTTGTAAAATGAAGATAAAATCACACTTGCAGAGTTAATGAAATGAAGCTATGGGAGCCCGCTGCTGACACTTCCCCAGCCCTGGGGAACGGCTGGTTCTCCTGCCTTGAATTGCTTGAAGCACTCCAGTCCTTCTCCAACTCTCCTAATTCTGCCTCAGGGTTCCATGACCCCCTGGGGTACCCAAATTGGCTCAATCCCTTGTATAAAAGTATTCAATACTTGCACACACCCTACCATATTCTCCTGTATACCTTAAATCTGTCCATTCTCAGCATCTCTAGATTACTTATGATTCCTAATACAATATAAATACTATGGGGAGAGATACTTTAGGGAAAACTGACAAGAAAAAATAGTCCCTACACATTCAATGAAAACACTTGTTTTTTCCCCAGATATTTCCCATCTGTGGTTGGTTGTGGATGTGGAGCTCACAGATACAGAGATCCCACTGCAGCAACTAAGAGAGAGCTCCTATAAGCCACACACAGTTCATGCACTTTTCCTTTAATCTTCCCAGCAAAGTTCTTTGATTGGTACTATTCTCATCCTCATTTTGCAGATGAAATAACTGAGACTTAGAGAAATAACTTTCTCCAAAGTGCCTCAGCTTAAGGTAGAACAGGAACCTGGGCAATCTGGTGCCAGAGTCTGGTTTCTTAAACATTTGCGATACTTAAGAAAATCATCAATATTCCTTTCTATACTCTATTTCTATTTTGGCTGTAGTGGATGACCACAGACTTAATGGCTTCAAACAACATGTGTTTATTAGTTCACAGTTCTGTCAGAAGTCCATTTTATGACTGTTCTCTGCCCAGTTCTCACAAGGCCAAAGTCAAAGTGGCTGGTGGTGTCCACGTTCTCATCTGGAACCCAGGGTCCTCTTCCAAGCTCCGGTGGTTGTCAGAATTCAGTTCTTCACAATTGTAGGACTGCTGCCCTGCTGGCTGTTTCCTGAGGGCTGTCTCAGCACCTAGAAGTCATCACATTTCTGCCATGTGGTACCCTCCATCTTTAAAGCAAATGAGCAATCTCCCTCTCATTTAACTCCTCTAGTGATTAATTTCCTGCTTCAGGAAAAGTCCAGTCCCTTCTCAGGGCTTATATGATTAGCTTGACCCACATGACCTTCCTTTATTCAAGGTGATTCTAATTGTGGGTAATGAGGGTCCCAACCCCAAGTCCCCAGATTATTCAAGGAGTGTATACTATGGGACAGGAACCATGCAGGCGTCTTAGAATTCTGCCACTTACACATGTTCTGTGTAGTATATACTCAATTTATAGCAGCTTTAATCCTCCCTGCTAACCTTGAGAGTTCTTGAGGCAACTGGGCCAGCCTATTCACCAACCAATTTGGAGCATTTTTGTATTTTAACAACCAATACAGCCATATAGATTCATAGAGGGTAGAATTCAAACATAATAACGTGGAACTAATATGTTCTCCTCCATTACTCTTCCTCCGGCCTCACCTCAAGCCTTAAATCTCAGAGAAGGAAGTTGTCAACCCAGAGAGAGAGAGGAGGAAATCCATGGAGATATTTGTGGCTCCCATTTTCACAGATAGGGAAACTAAGTCTGAGACAAGACTCCCAGCTCAGTGCTTTCTCCAGGAAGCCCTGCTGAGCCCTGAGTGTGCTCCTAACAAACCTCTGTGGCTGTGCTTCTGGCATTCTAGGCCACCCCATGATGCAGAGCTTTCTGCACTGTGGTGGGTGTTTGTAGAATTCCTTCCATTTAAGTGGATATCAGATTCACTCATGCATCATCTAAAATACAACTCCCTTTGATTTGACCTCTTTTGAGTCTCTCCACTCATGCTTTATATCAAAGGAATTAAACCTCTTTGCTGGACTTGAAGCTCTGTCTTTCCCAGGGGTTTTCATCCTGTCTCGGCAAAGCTTTCCATCCGTGGGCACAGGGGAGGCCAGAAGATGAAGAGCAGTAATGGGCTTGATGAGGTGTAATAGGATTGGCTGAAGTCGGTGCTTTGTCTTGCATTCTGCAGAGAGCAGCCGGGCTACTCAGCTGCCCTCAGCCAAGCCCATGACTTTTCTTTCTGTTTCTCTCTCTACACATGGTTCTGCACAAACCCTAGGTTCAAAGAGGCAGTACTAGAGTATAAACTCCAGGAGGGATGGGTCTGCATTTACCCTCTTCATTGCTTTATGGCCAGTTCTAAGCACAGGACTACTATACGTAGTTCCTCAATGCTTGCTGAATGGGTGCATAATTAATAGAACGGATCTTGAAAACCTTATTAAGGAAGTCCATCTCTATTGCTCCTGAGAATCTGTGATGGGCAAACAGCAATGCAGAACAGGAGTTCTAGGATGGCAAGTTACTCACCATTAAAATAGTAGAGGCTCCATGCCAATCAGCTTAAAGTCTACCCTGCAAATCAGCACTACGGCATTAGATGCTTAACTTAAATATTCCTGACCTTATTTTTAAAATAGAGTTAATGGAACTTTGCATTACATTTAAACTCGATGCAAATTCAATGACAGAAATGCATTCTGGAAAATGCATCATTAGGTGATTTCATTGTTGTGGAAACATCATGGAGCATATTTACACAAATTAAGATGCCTACAATGTCATTAGGCTGTATGATCTGTGGGACCACCATTTTATATGCATTAATATGATCAAAGTGTCATTATGCAGTGCATGACTAAATGTACATGTATACTTATATTTATGTCTGTATCATATATTCTTGCCACAGATCCCTGCAATGGCTCCCAGGGTTGGAGGGCAAAGAATGTTATTCAAGATTTTGAGCAAAGAAATTGAGACAAAGAAAGTTAGGTTTATTTTTCTATGGACCACAGAACAAGTTTGTTGGACATTGAGCTAGAATGTAGATCTCACCCTGGGTCAAGTCAGGAATAACTTATGATTCCAGTGCATACGGAGAAGGCATACTGATTTTAAATCAGAAGTAAGCCTCCTTTTCCTGTCTGCCAGACATGAAAAGTTTTCAGACGTGGGCTGAGGTGTCCTAGAAAACATCTTTCTGTTTCTAGTACAGCATGCAAGAACGTATGAGAATATGTTTAAAAATAAAGAAGGAAACAGTGCAGAAAATCAGCAAAAAGCTGTTTTCCCCCAAGAGCTGAGGGCAGGAGAATATGCTTTCCCAAGTGTCCTGGCCCATGATTCACTCTTGTGGCATTGTGCCTGCCCCACCCAACAGCAGCGGCTGGGGCAGTCTACAGCAACACTCCTATCAGAACCCTGTCTGGATTTCAGGAGCTAGAGTTTCCAGGAGCACACGGAGTTAACAGTGTATCTCACCATCTCTGGGCATCTCTGATCAAGTTTTCAGTACAAGACCCGTACCTACAGCTAGAGCAAAATCCTGCTTGGGATTCTACAAAGAAGCTCCAAGCATTTCCCTCTGTGTTTCATTTATCTTTCTAACTGCCATGTGAGGGAGCAGGTGGCTCTGTGCAGAATGGCCGATGGATGTCTGAGATAAATAGCCCTTTGAATGACTCTCCAAGATGATATTTTTTGAGGTTATCTCGAAATTGCTGCAATCACCCAGGCAACAAAGGAAGAGGTCTGTCAGGGTCATCTGACTTCCCAGGGTGTGTGAGATTGCCTTGGTTGGTCAATAAGTCAGTTGGTTCAGTGGCTTATAGACCATACATACATAAGGTTCTTTCAGGGCACGGTTCTGTCCAGCCAAACCCCTGGAATAGCCTCAAAAGTGGTGGAGTTCCCACACGGGACTGCTCCCAAACCATCCCAAGATGGGGCTGGTTGGGATTTCAAAGAAGTAAACAATAAACCTCAGGGTGATCAGTCCAATGCATCTCTTAGGGGAATTTATAGAGGAATGTATAGCGAGAAAAGGAATATTCTATCTAAGGATGTCCTCAGCACCGGTCAGGGTATGAAATCTAATGGACTTTTAAGGAATTTGGCTCAAGGCTAAGGGTAGTTTCTGCATGTTTAGCAATATGTTAGAATTTTTGGTGTTTCAAGCAACAACCTTAACAGTTCATCAAGAGTGCCTGGGAATGTTCAAGGCTTGGGTTTAAGCCTGCAAGAGAAAAAAAAATGTGACTTGTCAGGTCACAGAGGGGTCAAGGCACATTGTAGTTCTCAATCAGGACAAAGAAAGAAATTAGGGGGAACTGGAAAGTCTACACCTGGGAAGGAGTATACCTATGAAACCCAGGAAAACTTGGTTACAATGATAAAGAAGTGTCAAATTATAGTACGGCCTATGGTGACTTTCCAAGGATCAGTGCTTGTAGAACTTTCTGGAGGGAGAGTTCATCAGTTGAGGTCTAAGCCATAAAACACTGAGGGCTGTGGTTAAGTCCTTGGGCTAGAGCCAGATAAAACTAGATCCAAAACCTGACTTGGCCACATGCTACGCAAGCTTCATTTTCTTCTTCTAAAAAAATGAACAGATAATAACTATTTATCTAATAGCTTTACGGTAGGATTACATGAGCTAACGGATATAAATTTCTTAGGGCAAGGCCTGGCTCATGATGCTCAGAAATTTAAGCTCTTCTTATTAATTACAGAGATATTCACAGTCTTGCCTGATTTCATCAGAGTCTTAAAGCATTTTAAATGGGTTTGAGCAGA